GACATACCTTCAAGTTTCACACTGGTTCTCTCTGTGATCTTCCTGTCACAGATCAAAGCCTTCTCTTGTCCTATGGCGAGAGGCAAAAGCAGCTTCTCTGCACAGGCCTCCCACCAGCCGGAAGGATTCTGTGGCTTCGTCAGAACATCAGCCCTTTGGGCTACTCCCGGAATCCAACCTATGGGAAGCTCTGCTCCCCAGACTTCAGAGCGCAGACACTGCCGGATGGCTGCTAAGTCGACGGCTAGCCTCTTGTCGGCTGGGACTCGCGGAATCCCTTGCTTGTTCAAGTGGTCGAAAAGCGACCGGCAGTCGCTCAGGCAAAGCAGCGGCATCCTGGCCCTTTCCACCGTGACCAACTCGCCGTTGGCAATCGACTCGAACATGGAGCGGATGTACTGGGCCGTCTCGAGTCCTTCCGCGCACGCCTGGGATTCGGCTCCAAACGTACTCCTGCAGACCCGTTGGCCAGCTCTTGATCTCCAGTCGGCAATACTGAAGTTGCCGGCCTCACCGGACAGGCATCCGCGATCAGCAAAGGTGACGAGGATCCCGAGCTGGGAGGCCACCTTTGAGTTTCCTTTCTTGGCTTTCCGCTTCTCCTCCTTGTCAACGAAAGGGCCCTCGGTCTGAAGGCCAAGCAAGTCTTCTTCTGGTGTGAGGACGTAGTGGTTTTCGTCGGGGTCTGCCTCGGGCACGTTCGCCCATGCGGCGTCGTGGTAGACGATGACCATCATGCGCTCCGGGGGAATGTACTTGAAGGAGAGGCCATGGTCCTTGTAGAGCAGGGCCTTCGCGGCGGTAGCGTTAGTAAACCGAAGGTCGGCGTAGGTGGGCTGCTTCTGCAGTTGCTGGGCCATACTCACGGAGCAGGTCAAGTCCGGACGACTTGTATATAGAGGACATCCAAGACAGTGCTCCGATGAGGCTGCGGTTGTCGCTGACGAGCTCGTCGGTGGCAACTTCGTCGTCTCTGGCGCCGTTGGGAATGTCCAGTTGAAAGAGCCTCGTGGTCGCGTACTTCTCCTGGGTGACCGTCACCTCATCGTCGGAAACGGCGATTCGTGAACCGAGGAACTCAAAGTCGTCCATTTCCCAGTCTTCTATCGGAAAGGCTGCCGACAGCCCTTCTTGTATCGCACCTTGTAGACAGCGAGGGGCGGCGATCAGGAGGTCGTCGACGTGGCAGCCCATGAAGGCGACCGGCTCCCCAGTAAACTTGCCACTTTCCCATTTCCTCAGGACAAACACACAAGGGTCCAACGGGCACTGCTCGAACCGGTAGTAGACGTTCTTGTTGTCCTCGCAGACGGGGATCTGGATCTCGGCGACACCGGCACGTAGGTCGTTCCACCACTCGTGCGGACTGGTGGCCAGTCCGAACACATTCTTCTTGACCTTGACAAGCTCGCCTGGGCCCATCCCCGGAAACCCTGTCCTGGGTTGGTGCATATAAAGCTCCCTGCTCAAGTAGCTCCCCGTAAGAAACGCGCACCTAATATCTCCGGCAGCCAGGGTCCAAGGGCTCTGCGCTCTCCTTCCATTTGCCACCATCTGGAGAAGACAGGCAAAACCACACCTTGACAAAGTCGGAGCATCGGTTGACAGCCGCTCTGTGCCCAAGTCCGGGTCAGTGTGCCCGGCAATGACCAACCGTGACTTACACTTCCAAGGAACATCTTCTCCATCCCGGCGACGCGCGTAGTTTTTATCCTTATAGGCCCAGCGTGACCGGAGAATCCGGTCAGGAGGTACGCGGGCCCGGACAGCGTTGCTCTCTGCCAAGGTGAGGGGCTGCAGCGCGTCGTAGCTGAGATGCTCGCGCCACTGAACTTCTTCGGCTTGGCGAAACTTCTCATGTGCCTCTTCCGGGATTTCCGACCACTTAAGCTCCTTCTCCTTCCTCTTCTCCACACCACGCTTGGTTAAGTCGCTACGGAGCATCATGACCTCACTGTCGTGGCGATCCAGCTCGCTCGGGTTGGTCTTTCGCTTTAGTCTTCGCAAAGGAGGCCCAGGGTCATCGCCTTCCATAGGTTCCAGGACCGGGGCGTCGTCCTCGCCTTGCTCTACCTCGCTGGGCTCGTAGTCCATGGAGATGTCGTCGGCGAGGTCGTCGATGGGGTCCTCGTCCTCCGGGCCCTCGAACACGTCGGGGTCGTCGGGGTCGTATTCGAGAAGCTTCTCAACCTCGTCGCGGGTGCTCTTCATGGCCAGGAAAGAGCCAATCTCCTCCGGGGTCGTCGGGCGAACATGTTCAGGCGAGGTCAGGCGGCATCTGCCGCCCTTTGACAGCCAGTAGTTGCCTCCTTCTTTGCCCACGATCACGGCTGGGCCTGACCACTCTCCCTTTCGCCGGTTCTTCGGCTTGAACCAGAAATGTACGGTCTCACCAACTTCGTAGGGTCGCGAAGCCACCCGTGTTCTTTGAAGCAGCGCCTTCTGAAGGCGCTGGTCAGTCTGGCTTTTGTGAAAAGCCACACGCGCGGCAGCGCGCATCGTCGCCTGTCTCTGGAACTTTGCGTCCTCCGTGACGTCCCAGACAAGCCCTTCTCCGCCATCGGGATCGCGTAGGTCTTCGGGAAGACGTGGTGCCTTTCCAAAAACCCATTGGGATGGACTGTAGCCGCACTTGCGGCGGAGGTCATTCTTGGCGCTGTTGATGATTGGCACGGCGAGGTCGACCTCGTCCTCGCCTACACTCAACTGGTAGACGATTCTTTCCCAAATCGATTTCCACCACGCTTGTTGTCGCTCGACCATTCCGGCTTGCCAGTGACTTTGTGTCGCGGCGCTCCTCACCCCGATGTTGTGCCAGTCACATAGTCTCGCCAGGGCAACCTGAGGCCCCCCTTCTAGGTCGGCGACAACGGTCTTAGGCGGACCGAAGGGAAGCACCCACAGCTCATTGAACTTGGCCTCGATGTCGTCGGCCCCTTGGCCCTCGAGCCTAGCCGCGAGATGGTAGCTGGTTCCATAGTCCACGACCGACAGGAAAGTGTGCTTCTGGTCGTTGATGTCGTGCGCAAAGAACAGGTCGATGCCGAGGGTGTCATTCCAGTCGTAGAGGACGGGAACGGTGCTGGGGCGAGCCACCTTCGGCCCGGCGCTCGCCTGGCAGACTTGACATCTCATCGACCTAGCCGCCTTCAGCACTGGGGCTTCGCATCCTGCAAGCCTAAGGTGCCTGATGAAATCATGTAGCTGAGGGTGACCGAGATTCTGGTGAAGTCTGCGAAGGGCGGTGGCAATCCGTCCTGGTGTCTCATCTGAGAACGTAATGCCGCCAGCCCCCATAGTGGGGCGATCACCTCCAATCATGAAGTCGTTGGGGGGTGGGTNNATTAATCATCTTCATACATGATTAGTGTGGGATTAGTTGAGGATAAGCATTGGATTGTTGCAGGATAGGCACAGGTTTTGTTTAGTGCTGGATTAATGATGGATTACCGAGGTAGAAAAACTCCCTTCCCGACAGCAGCGAAACAGCATGAACCACAGACAGGAAGATGCAGAGAGTGTGTAGGCAGCAAGAGATTTCTTGCGTCCGTCTCATGCGTGGCAGCTGCGCAGCTCAGTTGGCCACATAATCAGTGGTATATAGCGTTCAAGGCCTGATACGTTTTGAGGGGTCAGGAGGGTTCATGTTTAGGCCCTCGTTTCGGGTCTATAGGGTTGGGGGCTTCGGGCGATTACGTTACATATTCAATGTCAGAAAGGCTTGCCATTGTACTTTTTTTTCACGGCCAACGGGGGAAGATGCCGCTGCGGAACCGGTTCTCAAAATCGGCCAAGAACGCCAGACGCTCGGCGGTGCTGCAAACCCAGACTCGCACGCAACATGATTGGCTCCTCAGGTCAGATCAGCCTTCTGGGGACCCATGTCCCTGTCTGGCATGTGGAGGCGGAAGTTGTTGGAATGAGTGCAAGTTTTTGTTTTGTACGACATGATTGGGGATTAGTTGGAACACGCTCCCACGCAGGGTTGCCAACTTCAGTGGTCCATGCCGTATGTGCTCGGAGTCATCCATGAGAATTCACGTCGGAAAAGCGATGGGAATACTCCAGCTGACCCAGCCAATCGTCGCAAAAATCTGAAGCAGGCATTTTACAGCCAATCGCAGCAGGGCCAGGTACAGGAATGGCACAGGAAGATTTGGCCTGGCGTGCCATTGCCAAGGCCTCTTCCGTACAAGGTTCGCGCAGGGCAGCTCGGATGTTTGCCAGAGCGCACTGTTCACACGTCAGTGCTGATTGCTAGTTTGGGCTGGATGCTTCATGATCCAGGGAAGCGTGCATCCACCGTTGGACAGGCTGCTAGCGTTCTGACGGAGTTGGTTACCATGTTGTGCAGGCTAGAGCAACAAACACTGGTACTGTGGGACATGCAGCGGCTGACCCCTGTGCAGTGCATGTTGAACAGAGATGGTACCTTCAATGGGGATTTGCTCTGGGGCGGAGACTGTGCGCGAAAGCGCTTTTTCTTGGATATGTGGCACCGACAGCTTGCATCTTTGTCAGCAGTAACTAGAACAGCCCAGCCTGGTTTGAGCAAGGCCTCTCGAGTTTGTCTGGTCCTTTTGCTTCAGATAAGGAAGACCCCAAGATGGGCGTGAAGACCATGCCCCACACGCCCCATGTGGCAGATGTGATCGTCTTCGCATTTTGCAGGCTGCTTGCTGGCACTTTGAGAGCACCGAGGTTATGCAACTACGTGCTTCCGTGGCTGACGCATTGTTCAAGAACTCCAATGTAACAGCGTAGGACGTGGTGTGACGGGAACGACCCCGACGATGTCCACGAGGATGTCAAGGCCCTGAGATGTGCGGCAAGCAGCATTCTTGCACAGGTTGCAAAGCTGCTAGACACTCGCCTTTGAAAACGCCATACGGTACATGTCTTATCTTCGGCTCGTGTGTGAAATCCGCGCCTGTTTTCCTCCAAGGATGACAATGGCCTGCGGCTTTGCACGCAGTTGGAACGAATGCGGCACATGCCAAAACGGCAACTGCCCTGGAATGTTTTCTGGGATGCCTTGGAGAAGCTTCGGCAAGGGAAGGACGCCTAGATTTTATGTTTGTGTGTTGCACCGCATGCTTTGCGTGGCAGGAAGTTTTCATCAGCCGAGCTGTGAACGAGTGGAAGATTTCGTCGTGTGAGTTCGCAAGGAGGGAAATGGTGTGTGCCTCTGCTGTGTATCAAGTTTATGTGTAACGTTGCACGAAGGGAACAGCATTTGATTAACATTCGCCCAGGTCACGTATCTGCATCGGATGCGTGCAGAGTTTCAGACTCAGTCAGCTGTGCATGTGGGGGCCCCAAGGTATAAATTGCTTCATCGTGGGTTCATGCTTGTGAAGTCGCTTTGCCTTGCAGATATACATGGACGGCAGCAACATCGCAAAATGTCCGACGGAAATTTTCTTCTTGTGTTGTGCGATCCTTAGTTGGTACTTTGGCATTGTTTCGATGTTGTGCTGTTCCGGTTCAAAGGCCCTTGGAAAGCGCTGTGCGCTTTTGCACCACCGCTGGCCTGGAGCCTAGCGTGGTAAATCTTTCGTTTATGTTGGACTCTTGACATGCCGGACTGCTGGGCTGGATTGTCGCCATTGCAGCTATCGAGTCACGCATGTGAGAGGCACATGCAGCTAGATCACTGCAAGCATTTGGCTGAATGCTGTTCATGCACACGCGCACCGGCCTGACTCCAACCGTGGTATATTTGCACACATCCCTGCTCGAACCTCGCGCGTGGATCTAGAGCCATGAAGCGTTCCAGAACTTTTGCATCCAGTTCTATGATCACGGACACGGACGTGGCCGTGAAGCGTGTGCGAGACCAGGTATCCAGATATAATTATTTTGGCTTAGGAGCACGGCTCGTGCGTGATGCTTGTGTTGAAGAAGTGAAGTTCACATGCATTGTCCTGCCTTTGAGGCTTTATCTGCGGACCATAGCTTGGTGCAGGCAGGTGGAGTCTTGGAGGCATCGAGGGTCCGATCAGAAGCAGGTTGTTGGCTCGTGATGGGCGCCTAGCATTTCTGCAGTAGTTGTTGCGATAGTTGCAGGCTGCCTGGCGGCTCATACGGCGGCTCATTGGGGACGTGCATCTGCAAGCAAATGGTCCGCAGTTGTGACCTATCCGCTTCCTTGCTGCATGTTGCTGTGCTGCAGAATTGTCTCCTGTGTCTACCAGGACAGCCTTTGGCGTTCAACCAAAACCTCCTCTAGTATGTGCACCGGGGTTTACACGGCAGAGATGGCTGTGGCCGCCGCCGGTTCTGTGGTGAACAAGTCTGGCTGCTTTCCCTTCACTTTCTCTTGCCAATGCATGGCTTGCTGGGCCCGGAACTCAGTGCTGCCTGCTTAATTGTCTCCCGGCACACATGCTGGCACGCCCAGGAAATAGAGGAAAAGTGCTATCAGTGCATGCGTGACAACCACGCGTGGGTGGAGAGCGCAGCGTCTCAGAATCTGGACATGCCCTGTGTGTTTGGTGACATGCAGAAGCTTGCCCCGCCTGGTGTTCTTCACAGCGGCCTCAACAGTTCCTCTTCGCAGACAACGGTTCCCAACAAACACTTCGATTTTCGATTCTTTCCCATACCCCTAAACCCTAAACTTTCCCTACACCTAAAATCTTGCCTGATGCCTAACGTGTGTACTCCGAGGCTTCGCAGAAAGGCGGGATGCGTTGCGAGCGGCGCCCACTGTTCTGGAGGCGTACTGCCACACGCATGGCGGCACGTGCGTGCATGCACGGGTAGATATGGACATCTCTGGCTTGCCGTGCACCGACAATTCGAAAGCCCACCTGGGTAGACAGTTCGAGGAGGGATCTACAGGTCCGCTTTTCGTGATTTGGGCTTTGCGCCTGGAGCGCTTCCGTATACCTTTTGCGATTCTGGAGAACACCCCAGCGCCTTGTCTGATAAATTATTGTTGCTAGGGTGTCGTGTCTCGCAGTCTCAATGTGTACAGCAACCAGCCCTAGCCCCATCACCACTGTGACTGTGCACGTTGGCAACATAGGACTTCCACGTGAGCATCGTGCACGACATGCTTTCCCACCTCTACCACATTTATGAGTTGTTCGTGGACCTCGCAGACGTTGGCCACTCCGGCGCCGCCCGCAAGCGTGTATATGTGATCTTAGTGAGCAAGCAGTGTCGCATCATCGCAGACCCTCGTCACATCTACAAGGAGGTCACATGTTCCATACGGAAGCGCTTCGCCACGAGACCACGCGACTACCTTACTGCAAGCGAACTGGAGGTCAGGTGTGAAGCAATGGAGCAAGCACGTGTTTTGGATGCACGTATAGTTCCGATTCTGAAGCAGTGTCATCAGGCCTGTTGCGGAATCGGGCCCTGAAGCCGCTGAACCGTCGCGGGATTCAAGCCATGCTTCTTTAGGCCTTTGAGCTTGAGCCCTGAAATGCAGAGAGGAAACTCCATACAGTTTATAAACTGTATGATGGAAGCGCCTGTCTCCATAAGATGGTGAGGTTGTGTGATCCAAGGTCTCAGAGACGTTGTGTGGCAGCCCGAGCTGGACAACTTGTCTTATCTGCTTTCCCCCAGAGAACGGGAAGTGATGACTCGACTAGACCAGACATACGAGCGCCTGTACGGTGTACGTCCGGGCACGCAGCCGGATCTAGTGTATTTTTTGGGTGATTCCGCGGAGAGGCAGAACTGGTCAGCCAGGAGTGGCAAGCTGCCTACGTTCCGACGCAATGCTGTCTCTGGAAAGTACTGGTACCCGGCGGCTCAGCGTTGGTTGACTAACCCAGAAAAGCTGCCTGGCGGCATTCCTGAACATCTCTTCCTTGTAGAGACTCTGATCCCGGCTGATCAGGTTATCCGCCATGACGTTCCCTGTGCGGGCGGCTGTGGCAGATGCTGCTGGAGTACCGGTCTTGCCGTCGCTGGATGTAAAGCGTTCAGCGCAGCTGGTGGGGAACGCAATGGCGATGCAGAATGTCGCCCTTGTCTTGATGGTGGCACTGTCTTGCTTCGCGCAGGATGCACCGCATGCTCCGGGTCGGCTTTGAAAAGGGGTTTGCTCGCTCAGTTGCTTCTCATGCGCGGCTTCTTGATGCATCTCCGTTTCAACTTCAACTGTAAACCCGCAAGTGGTGCATTGTGCGACGCAGTAGATTTTGCTCAGGTTGCGTCCAGTCTAGTAGGTCCGGTGCCAGCAGTGTGCTGCTGACATGCACAGCCTGCACGGACAGCAGGCTCAGCAGAGCCTCCACGGACAGCAAGGGACCCCTTTGCCGAATGCAGGCGCGCCAGCGACCGCGGCCGCTTCGGGCGCGCACGCGCAGTTCATGCAGCCTCAATACCAGGCAACGCAGATGAGCATGATGGGGCAGACCGCGCCGACTTCTGTCATGCAGGGTTCCCCGGCTGCTGGGCCACTTCCGTTCATGATGCCTGGACAGTCTATGCCGGCAGCAGGAGCACCTGGAAATGCTGGCCAGCTTGCGCAGTATGCTGGCATGCCGATGGCCGTGTACCCTGGCAATCCTTTGTTGCCGCAGGCTCTCATGCCAACCCCGACGTCTGCCATGCCGGCTGAAGAGAGAGATTCTACTGCGGGTGGAAACAAGTCAAAGAGGCGCCGCGGGGCCGGGAAAGAGAAGAAGCAGGACGGTGGTGTCATCTATGCATCGCAGTGGTCTGGAGTTGTAGCCTCTCGGTTGCGTTTACGTGCTGCTTCACTGCTTGCAGGATCCACTGTGAGGGTTATTGAGGGTTTAGGGTTAGGGCTCTGTAAAAGGGGGCTTTCATGGGGTTATCTAACTTTAGTTGTAAGTTGTGAAGGTCCCATGATTCTTTAGGATTCTCCAGAAGGGCCTTATACAGACCCCCGTTCTCGGCTCGAGATGGGAGTTCTGGGCACAGGGATTATCTACACCGCTGGAATCAAAGACTGCGAACCCGGGGCCCAATCCATGCACAAGACCCTGTATTCGAGTACTCCCATTCTCCATTGACAGTACCAATCACGCTTTTTCTCAGGGTGTACTTTATGCGGCAGGCAGTATTGTTTGGGGCTTGGGCTTTGTTAAGGGGGCTTTGGTAAAGGTTCTGAATACTTAGCTGCTGTTGTATGTTGTAACTGTCCCCATGATGAAGATTTTCAATGTGGGCCTGTCGACTGGAGTACTCCAAACTTCCACTGACAGTACCAATCAGAAGCCTCAACCCAGGACTACATTCTGCGCGAGCTCTTGTGCAAGTCGGACCCGGACAATGCGAACATGAGCTATTTGGAAGGGCTTGATTCCAGGACCCTCGGGGCTATGGCGCATGTGTACTGGGGCAAAGCCCCAGAGATGCGCTTGACCGCAATGGAGAATCATGCCTGCACTCAAGTTGGTCTCGTTGCCTCGTTGCTGCTTGCTGTCACAAGCTCTGCAGCAAAGGAAAGAGAACACGATCACCACTGCCAAAGAGCTGCAGCGCGATTACGTCCGGCGGGGCTCGCCAGGACGTGCCATCCCCGCAAACGTTCTGGCCACAATCAGCAAGGCCGTCCTCGCCGGTCAGGCCAGATTGGCCTCGTCGCTGGGTGAGTCTGAATCTCTGTTCCCTCCCGCGCTCTCTCTCTTGTGTCTTTCTTTCTTTGTTTCTTTCTTTCTCTGTGTCTCTCTCTCTCTCTCTCTCCCCTCTGTCCCTCCCACTCCCTCGCCCTCTCTGCTCCGCCTTCTGCCTTCCCCGAGAAAGGAACACGACCGGTGCTGCAGGTGCCAAAATCCTCAAATCTAGGAACGTAAGCAACCTGCACCCCCCTTTGCGGGTGCAGGTTGCTTACGCTCCTAGATTTTGGTCAACATCCCGGTTGGGATAAATCAAGTTTTGTGGCTATTCCCCTCCCTCCCTCCTTCCCTCCCTCCCTCCCTCCCCTCCC